TGGTTTTAAAAAATACCTATCATTATAAAGCTTCTTAGGTGATTTTAAAAAATACCTATCATTTTATTATTGTCATTAAAACACACACCTACCCACCCCTCCATTTTCCTCATTAAATTCTGATGAACTGACTTGATACTAGAGTAGGATGAAAGGAATGGTCACAATTGTCTTATGATTGGGAAAGGCTGTGAACCTAATGGGACTCTTTCCCTGCTTTCTCTCTCCTGCATTCTTTTAATTACACTCTCCTTAGTCCATAAAGTGTAGCAACATGTTAAGCTATGGAGTTAATAAAGCTAGTGACACAATTGAAATAATGTTTCCTATATACATCTACCATCTTGAAAATAATAAAAACAAAACAGCCCCCACCCCAAATGTTAAACAGCAAGAACTACCTGAGACCCCGTTCTAAAAATGTGGCTGATATTCAGCAAATACTAATAGGAAAATGACTTAAGTTTCTCTTAATTCACCTTTCGGCAGAATTATTGCCATGTTTTCCCTGGGTGGGGGGCGGGGGGGGGGAGACAAGTCAATTCTTTAAATCTTGAAACTAAAAATGTATCACTGCTGTAATTCATTTCCAAACATACTACCAGGACAGAGAAAGAAAAAAACTAAGAAGCATTAGTGTAAGTGATGTTAAAGAAAATAGCAAGAGATGGAACTCCTGCCCAGCAATTCAAGAAGCAAAGGAGCTGGTGGGATGGACAGATTGTTCCTTCTGCATTGCTGATGAAAACAGGAAACCGAATTTCTATATATGTTTCTTTTTTACAACTAAGAATAAGGCAGAAGAAGCACAAAGAGGCTGGCTAAAGACAGAAATCATAGTGCTCTCTGAAAATCAACATCAAGAACAAAGAGTCCTACTCAATCCTCTGCAGTAATGCAGTAATTAACTAGAGGAAAGTCCCCATCTTTTCTTTATTTAGGAATATCTTTGTTTCTGTGATGGAGATATCAGTCATTCATCCAATCACCCATCAAAATTTTTTCTTGGCCGGGCGTGGTAGTTCATGCCTGTAATCTGAGCACTTTGGAGGCCAAGGCGGGCAGATCACCTGAGGTCGGGAGTTCAAGACCAGCTTGACCAACATGGTGAAACCCCGTCTTTTTAAAAAGAAATAAAAATTTCAAATTTAAAAAAGAAAAATAGGTAATTTTAAAAATATAAATTAAAAAAATTTTAAATTAAGGCCGAGCTCGGTGGCTCACGCCTGTAATCCAAGCACTTTGGGAGGCCAAGGCAGGTGGATCACGAAGTCAAGAGATCGAGACCATCCCGGTCAACATGGTGAAACCCCGTCTCTACTAAAAATACAAAAAATTAGCTGGGCATGGCAGTGCGTGCCTGTAATCCCAGCTACTCAGGAGACTGAGGCAGGAGAATTGCCTGAACCCAGGAGGCGGAGGTTGTGGTGAGCCGAGATCACGCCATTGCACTCCAGCCTGGGTAACAAGAGTGAAAATCCGTCTAAAAAAAAAAAAAAAAAATTAAATTAAATAAAAAAAATTTTTTTTTCTTTTCCAACACCACTAAACCTGTGGGGGAATATCTTCTTTTTCCACAAGGATTTAATAGTCTAGTGAGGGAGATAAGAAAATCCTCTCAAAAATGAGATATCTGGGCTGGGTATGGTGGCTCATGCCTGTAATCTCAGCACTTCAGGAGGCCGAAACGGGTGGACCATTTGAGGTTAGGAGTTAGAGACCAGCCTGGCCAGTATGGTGAAACCCCGTCTCTACTAAAAATACAAAAATTAGCTGGCGTGGTGGAGCACATTTGTAATCCCAATTACTTGGAAGGCTGTGGCAGGAGGACCGCTTGAACTGGGAAGTGGAGGCTGCAGAGAGCTGAGATTGCGCCACTGCACTCCACCCTGGGCAACAAAGTGAGACCCTGTCCCCTCCGCCCCCCAACCAAAAAAGAAAAAGAGGTGTCGCTAGGCACGGTGGCTCAGGCCTATAGTCCCAGCACTTTGGGAGGCCAAGGTGGGAGAATCGCAACAGCCTGGCCAACATGGTGATATGCCATCTACAAAAAATTACAAAAATTAGCTGGGTATAGTGGTGCATGCCTGCAGTCCCAGCTACTTGGGAGGATGAAGGGGGAGGATCACTTGAACTAGGAAGTTGAGGCTGCAGTGAGCTGTGATTGCGCCACTGCATTTCAGACTCAGCAACAGAGACTCTGTCTCCAAAAAAAAGAAAGAAAAAAATAAAGTGTCTCATTGAGCTCAGTTCTGCCCCTTTCGAGGAGGAAGCCATACCCCTGGAGAGAAGGAAAAGGTAACGAAAACAACAAAAACATCTTACTTGGAAAAAGCGAGCAACTTGGAACTGGATCTCAGTCTGATGACTGGCTCCTCAATTCCTAAGCTGGGTGGGTGGCTTGAATACTGCTATTTAACATCCCTGCATATACTGGGGATAGTAATTCCTATCTACCCAACAGAGCTGAAGCTTAAACGGGAAAGAACATTGTAATATGTGTAAGGTCCGAAGAGGTGAATCAACAGAGAGAATCTGACAGTCAGCTTACGACAGAGGAAACTGTTGGTTTGACCTACAAGGAACACAGAAAGGGATCAGTCTGAGTGGGACCAAAGCTTTGAATCGAAGGCAGAAATGCAGTCGTTTTACGATTTTCTCCTTTTCCCTCAACAGAAGAGCAGTATTTAGACTCTTTCTATTGGTCATTATTGATGCTTCTGCGCGGGGGTGCTGGCAAAAAGAATGACGAATAAAACACCGTATTTAGGGCACCTCTGCTGTGTGACCTTGGGCTCATGTTACGTCTTCGCGCTTCAGTTTTCTCATCGGTAACACGAGGATCAAAATTCCTTTTAAACTATGCGTCCAGTTTTTGTGAAAATCCAACTCGAATGTATGTGAAAACCCCCTGGAAGCGCTAGAGCGCCAGGCAAGTATTAAGTTTGGTAATTTTTTTCTCCCTAAGAACTAGGCGTTCCGAAGAGGAAGACAACGTCTCTGCTTGCTTTGTCACCCTCCTTTCTTTCTGACCTTTATCAACTTTGTAATTTACAATCACAGTAATAGCCAATATCCTACAGCAGTTTCTGGCACCAGATTCTCGGGCCCCACCCATATCCACACCACCAAGCCGCCGCGCCGGCTGAGACAGAAGGAAAACTTAGCCTTTCTCCACCCGCAGGCGGGACCTCGCCGTTAGGCCCCACCACCCGGAGTCCCAGAAGCCAATCCCCAAAACCCTGGAGCACTGCCCCGCCCCTTGGAGAGGGGAAAACAATATGGCGGCCAGAAAGAACGACAGGGGCGAGAGCCAATCACCGCAGAGGCCTAGCCTCATCCGGCTAGTCCCAGAGGCGGGATCACCGGCCAAGATGGACAGCCAGAGCAGCCAATAGAGCGATCGGAGGAGGGCGGGCGACAGGCTCTCACACAGCGGTTAAGGCCCCTACAGCCAAGGGCCCAAGGACTGGCTTGGACTATAACCCTTTTCTTTATCCACTCCAGAGTTCTCCATCCCACTTTTGCTGGCTGGTCGCCTTGCTTGCAGACTATGATGAGGGGAGGAAGAAGGCGGCGGTGGCTGAACCCGCCTGACAGGCCGGGGCCAGTGACAAAGAGCCGGCTGCTCAGGGTGAACCCCGGGAAGCGATCCTTTCGAGGAGAACCCAAGTCCCCCTATAGATAGGAAAGACGCAACTCACGTTGTCTATGACGACAGGCTGGTTGGCGATCACATCGTAGGACTCCATGGCAGAGGAATCTCTCCTTCAGGAGAAGGAACTGCCAGCCGGGTCCGCCGTTAGCGCCACTGACACGCATGCGCAGTCTAGCCGCCGGTTCAGGACGGCGAGGGAGCGGCCGGACCTCGCCTCTGAAGAACTACAATCCCCAGCACGCTTTGCGCCTGGGTAAGCGGTCTCGCTTATTTTGGTGACCGCCTAGTTTAAGACTGGGAGTCGCATTTCCGATGCACAGTACCCTGGGGTTTGTGGTCTCCCTAGATTAAATAGACAGAGACACAGGTTGATGGTCACGTGGCTTGTCTGGATCTGTAGTTACTTCGAAGAAGTTCGCAGTGCATGCTGAGGTATGTAGTCTTCTCGAGTACTTGCCTGTAGTTCGCTTTGGATTGGTCATAATAAATGGATGTTTGGATTTTGCAGATCAGTACTGCCACTCCCCCCAATGTTTCCTTAGACAATGTGAGGTTCTCATGTTTTTATTTGGGTCTATAAGACTCGAATAAACATCTCCTAGCACCTCACACTCAAACAACAAGGAGATGTTACACACGTAGAGGACATATTCCTACAACAAAGGAAAACAATTTGAGTTGCATAAAATTAGCTTTAATGAAAAAACCTGTACATTGTCGTTGCTTTTTGCATTTTCTTTTTTTCTGCATAGGTGTAAACTTTGTAACAGGCTACTTTGATCCGAAGATTGGCAATTGGAACTACTGGTATAGGTAATCTTTTGGTCATTAAAACATTATCTAAGGGTTTCAGGAACTGTTCTAGTGTCTCTTTAATTTTCTTGAGGAGCTAGAATTGACATTGACGGCTGAGAAAATGGAAGTGAAGAGAGGTTATGTGTCACTGCTTTCAAATGAGCCCAGTGCATTTTTTTCTCCGGATTATTTTCTCCCCCTGCCCCCTTCAAATTGCAGGGACCTTTTTGCCAATAGCCCTAGAAAACAGATTTATTACAATCTGTTAAAACTAACGCCCCATAGATGAATGAAACAATCCATTGTCAGATTTATATTTAAATCCTAGTTAGCAGAGCGTCAGCAAAACAGTAACAAACCCTTTGTTGGCGCACTTCTCGGTGCTTTCGTGGGACCCTAGCACCTCAGAGGGATGCCTCAACATCTCTAAATTTGGGTTCCTCCTAACACTAGGGGGAGACCAAGAGCCTTGGAATATTCCCAACACAGGGAGGGAAGGCGGGGTCTATTGTCAACTCACGCCTTCCCCGCTTGTGACTGGCACAGACATTAGCCAATGGGTGCTTGGATAGGGCGCGCCGGCGCCCCGCCTTCCTGAGCGCCCCGCCGCCCCGAGGCACCCTCTGGCAGACTTAGCGGCGGCGACAGCCTGGGCGGACAGTGCGCCGTGCGCAGGCGCGGAGCTAGACCTCGCTGCAGCCCCCATCGCCTCGGGGAGTCTCACCCACCGAGTCCACCCGTTGGCCCGTCAGTGCTCTCCCCTCGTCTGCCCTCCCTAGTTCCTCCAGTGCCTGCCCTACGCGCCCGGATGGCGGAGCTGCGGCCTAGCGGCGCCCCTGGCCCCACCGCGCCCCCGGCCCCTGGCCCGACTGCCCCCCCGGCCTTCGCCTCTCTCTTCCCCCCGGGACTGCACGCCATCTACGGAGAGTGCCGCCGCCTTTACCCTGACCAGCCAAACCCGCTCCAGGTTACCGCTATCGTGAAGTACTGGTATGCCCTGGGCCGCTGGGAGACGGACAGGCGCGGGCTGGGAAGGGTTAAAGCGCTGAGGGCGAAGTAATTTGTGGGAGGCAGGGAGGAGGGGAGGAGGACGGTTAAAGCGCCTGGAAGGAGGGCTTCCTGCTGCGAGGGAAGGAGTTAAGGCTGAAGTTGGGAGTGGGGACAAAGGGGTTAACGGAGCCGTGAGTAGTGAAGGGTTAACCAGGATTAGGAGAATAGTGAGGACTGGGGGTGTTTGTAGGAGCAGAGGGGGGAATGGCTTGAGCGAGGGAACTGTAAACGTGGTGAAAAGAGGGGGCGCCTGTAGGGGGTCATTAGTGGGCGAGGGGAAGCCAAAGGGGGGGCGGCTGAAGTGGGATGCGGGAGGCGAGGCGGGGCCTGGGGAGCATTTGAGAGGGCTTTGGAGGAACGAGGCCGGAGAAGCTCAGAGGGCACGAGACTGCTTAGGATAGGGGCGGCTGGGAGCCCGGGGCTCTCCTGTGGGGTTAGGAGGGCCAAAGATGAGGGCCTGGTGCTTGTGGAGAGATGAGGAAGAGGTCTCCTTTTGATACTTTACCGATGAGCTCAAGACGTCACATCAGGGCAAAGCTTTTGCTTTTGAAGTTTGACGGAGCAACTTTTCCTGATAAACTTTTTGCTTATTCTACACTGTTCTCCTCCCTACACAGCTTCTTCCTAGCTCTGCAGCTGCTTTGCTTTAGGACATTAGGCAGAGAGAAGTATGGTTCGACTTACGATTGAAGGGGACCACAGCTTCCTACCTCCAGTGGGAAATAAATGATGGAGACCCTGGGATCCCAGCAGGGAGGAATTGTGCAGTGGGACATTAAGAGGAGCTTCCTGGCCATGGCCTGCAGTTCTTCTAGGGAGTTGAAAATAACCCTCAAGTAGCTTTAGGGTAGCAATGGTCTTTTGTGGTTTCCCATTCCTGTTTGCAACCTGTTTCTTCCTGCAGCCTTTGGGGAAAACAGGTGTTATGGGGACCCTAGGATAAGAACCTGTCCTCATGGTCTCGCTGGACCAAAAACTGAGATATTGGTTGAAACTGTTCAGGACTACATGCATGCAGACATTGTATTAGATGATCTCCTTCAGTGAGTCCTGAAACATGATTTGGCAGCTGCTTGGGGTGTAGCCAAAGGGTAGACCTGAAGGGGCAAGTGAATATCTTTGCTGGTTACTTCTCCCTTAAGGACCAAGTCTCCCTCCTCATGAAAATCTCTTATTTCCCCTGGACAAGGTTGTCAGTAGGTTGTGCAGGCCTTTGGCGTCAAAGGGAGGATGCCAAAAGGCCAACAGCATGGAGGGCCTGGGGACCAGCCCACCTCCTCCTGGCTACTTGGACAGAGGATGCCAAGAGGCCAACAGCATGGAGGGCCTGGGGACCAGCCACCTGCTGTCTAGGGAGGGTCATAGGGAGCAGGCTCCTCTGTCCAAGTAGCCAGGAGGAGGTGGGACTGGTGTCATAGTTCTCTCTGGCCGGAGTTGTTGAAGAGCGCTTCTGAGTGGAAAGCGGCTCTTGCTAGCTTAATGACCCATTCACATTGTGCCTCTATGTTTAACTATGTGTTGTGAGGAACTTGTTGTCATGTGCCGTGAGAAAAGTGGACCTGGGCTGGGTGAGGTGGCTCATGCCTGTATTCTCACCATTTTGGGAGGCCTTGAGGATCCCTTGAGCGTTCGAGACCAGCATTGGATAACATAGCTAGACTCTGTCTCTGTTATTTGAAAAAAAAAGAAGTGGGCCTGGCTCTGCTATGCTGTTTGTTCAGGCCTCTTTTGAGTGTGAGGAGAAATCCCTACACAGATTCAGGCAACTTTTTATGTCACCCAAATTGCCATAAAGGATAGAATTGTATGTAAAAGGTATGAAAGCATGTACAAAGGATTAAGGGCAATTTTTTTTTCTTCTTGCTGCAAGCTTATTAATCAGGCCATATCTTCAGAGATGGGCCAACACGTGATAATGAAGAAAAGGGATTGTACAGCACTTTGTGAAAGCCCTGCCTAGATGCAGAGAAATATAAAGAGAAACAGCACAGTGACTGGTACTTTCTTTTTTTTCTTTTTTTTTGAGACGGGGTTTTGCTCTGTTGCCCAGGCTAGAGTGCAGTGGCATAATCTTGGCTCACTGCAACCTCCGTCTCCCGGTTTCAAGCAATTCTCGTACCTCAGCCTCCCAAATAGCTGGTATTACAGGTACCCACCACTATGCCTAGTTAATTTTTGCATTTTTAGTAGAGGCAGGGTTTCAACATGTTGGCCAGGATGGTCTCAAGCTCTTGACCTCCAGTGATCCACCGCCTTGGCCTCTCAAAGTGTTGGGATTACAGGCATGAGCCACTGCACCCAGCCATCAGTGACTGGTACTTCTTTTTTTTTTTTAGATGGTGTCTCACTCTATCACCAGGCTGGAGTGCAGTGGCACGATTTCAGCTGGCTGCAGCCTCCGCCTCCTGGGTTCAAGTGATTGTTGTGCCTCAGCCTCCCAAGTAGCTGGGATTACAGACATGTGTCACCACACCCAGCTAATTTTTGTATTTTTTAGTAGAGACGGGTTTCTCCATGTTGGCCAGGATTGTCTTGATCTCCTGACCTTGTAATCTGCCTGCCTTGGCCTCCTAAAGTGCTGGGATTACAGGTGTGAGCCACTGTGCCTGGCCTCAGCATAATAGTGACTGGTACTTTCTAAGATCCAGAGGAGTTTGCAAAAGTGAGATCCTGAAATTCATTTATATTCCTCACATTTGGGATCCCACGAGTTTTCTAGCAGGATGACTGGCCGAGGCTCTCTGGGTCTGTCTGTGGCCCAAGGTAGCTTGGATTCATTTTGCAATAGCAGGGTGGCTCTTTGGCTAGTGATCCCTGAGTAGTGGGGACATTCTGACAGAAAGGTGAGACTTTGGTGAGCAAGGATCAAAGCAGAGAGGCAGAATCTGTAGTCAAGGCCCACTTCAGTCCTGCAGCTGCCCTGCGGAGAGAAGTTGGGTGTTCAAGGAATTAAATTGAGGGATGCCCTGGGACTTTGGATAACATTGTTTGCTAAGTGTAAAATATGATTTTTTCCCACATACTCATCTGGCCTCTGAGTAGTAGAACAGAATACTCTGTGCTTAGGGACAAGGTTAGTTTTGTCTGACTCTTGGTAGTTCCTTGCAGTTGGAGTTTTAAGGCAAAGCTTCTCTCCTTGATCTGACACGTCGTGGGAGACGTGGTGAGAAGGAGGGCTGCAGGGATGCGGCAGATGGAGCAGGGAATGGTAAACACAGTTTTGCAGCTCGGTGGGTTGGACCTAGGCTATAGGGGGGCAGGTTTGGAAATTTGCAGCAGGAAATTGGAGCAGGTATGGGACCTGTAGTGGCTCCCATCTGCTCTGGAGTTCTGTAGCTCTAATGGGGTCTTTCCAGGGATCTCTAGTCTTTCCTTTCTTCCTTTGCCCCACAAACTTTTCTAAACCCAACTGGTTGTAGAATTAGTCAAATGATTTGGTGAAATCAGAGTTAAGGCAGACATGGAGATTTGTCCCTTTTCCTCAGTTGAGATTCTAAGCTATTTGTAGCAACTTTCTTGCAGGTTCTATAAATAACTTAACATTTCCTAACAGAGAGCAGGGATTTCTACAAAGGCAAATAATATCCTGGTAAAAGAGGATGAAACAAGACCTACTGGTTTTAAATACGGTTTAAATTGCCTGGTGCTGGCAGCATTTGCTGGGATCACTGGTAACATATCTTTTACTTGATTGCATACTATCCCAGTTGCAAAGTGTACTCTATTGATGTCTCAGGGGCTGGTGAAGCTCTCGCAGTCTGTGGAATTGTCAGATGTTTGAGGCAGCTCAAATGCCGTGTTTGTGGGCTAAATGCAGACTTCTTCCACTGATGGTTTCTATTTAGTCTATTTCTCTAGCTACCAAATTTTCCTATCCATTCTAAAGGAAAACAGCACTTTTTTTTTTTTTGAGACGGAGTCTTGCTCTGTCACCCAGGCTGGAGTGCAATGGTGTGATCTCGGCTCCAACCTCCGCCTCCCGGGTTCAAGTGATTTTCCTGTCTCTACCTCTGGAGCAGCTGGGATTACAGGCACTTGCCACCATACCCGGCTAATTTTTTGTCTTTAGTAGAGATGAGGTTTCACCATTTTGGCTAGGCTGGTCTCGAACTCCTGATCTCAAGTGATCCACCTGCTTCAGCCTCCCAAAGTGCAGAGATTACAGGCGTGAGCCATTGTGCCAGGCCAAAACAGGATTTTTTTTAAAGCACTAATTACTAAAGGGAACTCTTATTGTGTTAAATCCTCAGAGTGATATAATAACTGAATTTCTTCCGCAACTCCTTCTCAGTTGAATGGTGGGAGAAATTTAATGTGGTCCTCAGAGGCCCCAAATCATTTGCTGTTCTAGCTCTACCTTTGAGGTGGCATTCTCTCCTGGGATCATTTTCTGGGTACACATGCTTACAGGGCTCAGTTTGGCTCCTGCTGCAGTTCTGTCTAGAACTGAGCTAAGCCTAAATTTGGCCTTTGTCACTTGCAATGATAAAAGACCAGCTTTGGTCTATGGGGTGCAGGCTGGTGTCTGCATGGACTAGAGGTTTGGGTTTGTTTAGAACAAACTGTAATTAACATAGGGCACAATATAGTCTTTCAGGAATTAGCTGTCTAAGAGGCTGGAGTGGAGCAGAGCCTCTGCTTCCAAGAACAATGCCCACTGGGGATGCTCGGGATGGTCTTTCAACAGAGGCCAATTGATTGACTGATTCACCTCTTGCCTTGAAGCTTGGCATGTACAGGCACCACAGAATAGAGATAATCCCTGCCAATCTCATTTGGAATCGGTAATTTGAAACAGGAAAAAGCAAAATGGACAACCACCCAGTCTGTTTCATTTCTAAAAGAGGCCTAGTCTTCTACGGGTAGGAGAAGGGAGCCTCTTTTGCTTGTAGAGTTGGGCAGCCTCAGTTGTGCAACCTTGGTCTCATCCTGGAGAGGTGTGGCCTGTTTTTAAGTTACCTTTCATCCTCCAGGATGGGGCCTTTAGGTTTACAAAGTAGAGTGCCTTAGCTTGACATTTTCTGATTTCCAGGCTCACACTGACACCCCTGTGTTTTGTTTTCTGCAGGTTGGGCGGCCCGGACCCCTTGGACTATGTTAGCATGTACAGGAATGTGGGGAGCCCTTCTGCCAACATCCCCGAGCACTGGCACTACATCAGCTTTGGCCTGAGTGATCTCTATGGAGACAACAGAGTCCATGAGTGAGTGTATGCCCCCTGTTCTTTATCCAGAGCCTTATTTCTGAGGATTTCCTGAGCAGGGGTGACAATGTCATAGTGCTGTGAACTTGGTACTTCTCAGTGGACCCTCTATATTTTTGCCCTCTGACTATAGGTACTCATGCCAAGGTGGTCCTCATTAGCACCTGATTCCTGTTTGTCTGGTGCAGGAAAGTGTTGATGAGCAGGAGTTCCCAAATCAGGTTTTTCTAAGCTTGCCCTGAAGTTTGGGCTCAAAGGACGGGTAACATGGTTATGATTTAGAACTTGGGCTGATGCCTCTATGTCTACTTCCTTGTACTACACCCCCACCAAGGTTCTTATGAAACATTTTAAACATACAGCAAAGTTGGAAGGATTTTACAGTGAACACTCATATACCCACAACCCAGATTCTACTATTAACTTTATACTTTATCACAAATCTGTCATCTGTCATCCCTTTATCCATCTTACTTCCTTTTAACCTGTATTTATTTTTTATATCCTAGTCTGCTTTCATCTGTTGCCCTATATGCTTTTTTTTTTTCTTTTTTTTGAGATAGGGTCTCACTCTGTCATCGAGGCTAGAGTACAGTGGTGTGTCATGGCTCACCGTAGCCTCGACCTCCCTAGGCTCAAGTGATCCTCCAACTTCAGCCTCCCGAGTAGCTGGAATAACAGGCAAGCACCACCATGCCCAGCTAATTTTTGTATTTTTTTGGTAGAGACAGGGTTTTAACATGTTGTCCAGGCTGGTCTCAAACTCCTAGGCTCAAGCAGTTCTCCCACCTCAGCCTCCCAAAGTGTCAGGATTATGGGTGTGAACCACCATGCCCAATTCAGAGTTCATACTCTTAATGACTGTATTTTCTTGCTTCTTGAGCAATTATGTCTTGTCCTCCAATAAGCTACCATTTATGCTTTGAAAAGGTTTTTTTGACTGGGCGCAGTGCCTCACGCCTGGAATCCCAGCAGGAGGCTGAGGCAGGTGGATCACTTGAGGGTCAGATGTTCAAGACCAGCCTGACTAACGTGGTGAAACTCTCTCTCTACTAAAAATAAAAAAAATTAGCCAGGCATGGTGGCATGCACCTGTAATCCCAACTACTCTGGAGGCTGAGGCACGAGAATCGCTTGAACCCGGCAGGCAGAGATTGCAGTGAGCTGAGATCATGCATTGCACTCCAGCTTGGGCAACAGAGTGAAACTGTGTCTCAACAATAATAATAATAAATAAATAAAAATAATTTTTTCTATTTATATCTTTTGATGGAGGGTTTCTTTTCTTCCATTTAAATGTAATCTTTCTATGTTATTCTTCTGTCAATTAAAAATAAAAATAAATGTAGTCTTCCCTCCCCCTCATTAGCATAGTAATCAAGAGCCTGTTTTGTCATACCCTCTTCTGGTTTTTGCTTTTTGTGCTTTTTTTGCCTCTTATACCATGTCTTTTCTATCTTGGGGGTATCTGCTTAACCTGGGCAGGTTGAAAGAGTAGCAGGACTCCTCCTTAGCATAGAGACCGATTCTGGAGATGATGATGGTATCATGAAGAAGATGATGATAACCTTTATTCCCTTTGTTTAGTACTTACTCTCTTCATGTCATTGTGTTAAACGCTTTACAATCTTATCAGGTCCTCATTATTTCTATTTTATAGATAGAAAAGTGAGTCTCTTAAGGGGTTAAATGAATTGCTCAAAGACGCTCTTTTACATCTAGGCGTAAAAGAGCTGGGATTGAATTGGGCTGTTTGAGTCCAAAGTTGAGCTTTTTTTTTTTGAGATAGAGTCTTGTTCTGTCGCCAGGCTGGAGAGCAGTGGCTTGATTTCACCTCACTGTCACCTCAAGTGATTCTTCTGCCTCAGCCTCCTGAGTAGGTGGAACCATAGACACACCACCATGCCCAGCTAATTTTTTTGTATTTTTAGTAGAGACAGGGGGTTTCACCATGTTGGACATGATGGTCTCGATCTCTTGACTTCGTGATCTGCCCACCTCGGCCTCCCAAAGTGCTGAGATTACAGGCACAAGCCACCGTGCCCAGACTTTTGTTTTTTGAGACAGGGTCATGCTGTGCCACCCAGGCAGGAGTGTAGTGGCACAGTCATGGCTCACTGCAGCCTCAACCTCCTGGACTCAAGCATTTCTCCCACTTCAACCTCCCAAGTAGCCAGGACTACAGGCATGCATCACCTCACCCGGCTAATTTTTCAAATTTTCTGTAAAGATGAGTTCTCACTGTGTTGCTCAGGCTGGTCTCGGATGCCTGGACTGAAGTGATCCTCCTGCCTTGGGCCTCCCAAAGTGTTGAGATTACAGCTGTGAACCACTGCATTCAGCCTCAGAGTTTGAGCTTTTAATCACTGGGCTATTCCACCTCTCTGAACACAGGCCTAACCCAGCTTCCTCTTCTCTCTTTTCAAGTTCAGAGGCCCAGGTTTCATCTCCTCACTGGTCACGTGTTGGGAGCAATGTCTATGGCTGCCTTTACAGCCTTTCAAATGGATTCATTGCAGTGTCAGCAGAAGGCTTTGGGAACAGGGAATTAATCTTGCCTGAATGGGGACCCTGCATTACAATGTTAATAATGGAGATAGAATAGCAAACAGATGTAGGCAGTAAAGGGACTATGCTGGAATTTAATTTATATTTTTAATAAGAACTTGCAGAGAGTATTTAGTGCAGCTACTCTGTACCTTTTTGTTGACAGATTTATTCTGGTTAAAAAATATCATTTCCTTTGTGGCTTAAGGATTCTTCTTGTCTACCTGCTTATCAGGTATAGGCCCAAGGCTCAAAATAACATGAAGACTGTAATTGAGCAAGCCTCATATTTCAGAAGGGGCAACCTCTTAATTTGAAATAGGAACTTTCTTATTGTTTTTTGCTGGCTTAATGCTACCCTCTTACATGTGTTTCATTTCTACATGATACAATACTTTGTATTTATATGTCATTTATGACAAGAGTGAAATGTCTGTTTGGGTTTTCATGTCACCAATCAAGCCTAGTATTTTCCAGTATTACATGCTGCCACTAGAAGGATATGGAAGGAATGTTCTTAGATATTTACCCAGTTCTGATCTATGTGGCAGAAAAAAAAGTCAAAAGTACCTCTACATGCTGGGCAGTGCCTCATGCCTGTAGTCCCAGCACTTTGGGAGATTGAGGCAGAAGGATTGCTTGAGCCCAGGAGTTTGACACTAGTCTGGGCAACATACTGAGACACCCTGCCCCCCCCACCCATCTCTACAAAAAAATACAGAAATTAGCCAGACATGGTGGTGTGCATCTGTAGCTCTAGCTACTTGCAGGGGCGGAGGTGGAAGTATCACTGGAGCCCAGGAGTTCGAGGCTGCAGTGAGCTGTGATTGTGCCACTGCACTCCAGTTTGGGTGACAGAGCAAGACCCTATCTCAAAAAATAAAGAAAAATAATAAAATTCAAATAGATACCTGTATATTTGGTCTTATACTGCCATGACTGGTTTCTTTTTGATCTTGTTAAGTTTCTTGAAGAAAAATGTGATTTTTCCCAACATTTCATATGGTGAGGCCTCTTTAAAATGACTTACTAAATCCTCATTTAACTTAGTATTCAAAGGTGAGGTCAGAAAGGTGAGTGTCCTGCCATCCAGCTGAAGTGCTAAGAGGTGCTGGATTGGATGACGGCCATTGGATTTCTGGCAACAATTCTTCTTCCACTGTCCTGCATCTTCTCTTCAGCAAGAAAGGAGCAGAAACATTGGTTCATTTTTTCAGCACACATTCATTAAGCATCAACTTTATATCACACACAGAACATAATAGTCAATGTCTTGGGGATAAAATAGCAAGACATAATTCTTGTCTGAAGGTACTCATATTCTAGAGGGGAGATAAACATAAAAAGATTGTTATGGTATTGAATAATAAATGCTACAGTCCATGGGTGGAGAACATGATCTGGGAGCAGAGCAGAGGGAGTAACTTCTAGTCAGGCTGCTGGATTGCTAGAAGCTGCCAGGGAGGAGGTAAAGTTCAAGAGGGACCCTGAAGGAAAGGGCCTGGGATGCCATCTGCAGCCTCACGCTTCATGGTACCAACATCGCTTTTAGGAGTGAAAGGGACTTTTTCCTTCTAGCTCAGAGTTTCCAAAACTTCTAGTGCCACTTTCATAATTTTTGCCTCTTGTGGCATTATTTACTTCGTGTTATTTTTAAGTGATCCTCTCCTTTTTTAAACTAATAGGAATTTATTTTCATTTTTATTTTTGAGATGGTCTTGCTCTGTTTCCCAGGCTGGAGGGCAGTGGCACGGTCATGGCTCACTGCAGTCTCAACTGCCCTGGCTCAAGCGATCCTCCCACCTCAGCCTCCCAAGTAGCTGGGACCACAGGCATGCACCACTACACCCTGCTAATTTTTTAAAAAAATTTTGACACGAGGTCTCACTATTTTGTCCAGGCTGGTCTCAAACTACTGGACTCAAGCAATCCTCCTGCCTTGTCCTCCCAAAGTGCTGGGGTTACAGGTGATAGCCAATGCTTTCTGGCAACAACATTTATTAAACACCTGCTGTGAACCTCCTCCTATGAGGATCTTTCCTTCTCCTCATACCTGTTGAAGGTAGGGAGAGACAGAAGCAAGGGGTCCTTTGCATTTCTTCTCGCTCCTGGCAGGCACGCTTCAGGGGCAGAAGGGACGCCAACCCTGGTAACCCTAAAAGGGGTGAAGATTATGCTGATTGGATAAGCCCTGGGATGGCCACTTTCACTCCTAAAAGCGATGTTGGTACCATGAAGCGTGTTGGTACCATTCACTAAAGGAAACTGGGCAAGAGAGCACTTGTTTTGGTCAAAAGGTTCTTAAGAGGCCATTTCTGAAGTTGGAGAGGTGGAACAAGTTCCAGGTCTGGGCAGCCACAGGAGAGAATGGAGTGCTTTTCTAGGAACCCCAAGGCTGCTTTTAACTGACTTCAGTGGCGAGACTGTCTTGTGGGGCTCTTCCTGGGACTTGG